AATCCGAAATCGTGCTGAAACCACACGTTTTCGAGGATTCACATAACACGTAGCACTTTTTTTCCTACCCAAAACAACCTTAAAATCTGCTTAAAACTGTAGCGAAAACACAACTTCACCAAAAAATCACCGACAAAAAACCATGCGGCGGGATATATATTTGTATCTATCTCTGTATATATGTGTATTTTTATGTATCTACACATATAAGTATAAATATATCTGTGTAAAGGGATATGTGTATATATATACACACATATACATGCGTGCGTGTGCCCCTGCGCGTGTGTTTATGGCGTACGTACGAACATGTGGCCTATTCTGTGCGATGTTCTGCATGTACTCGCATGCAGCCTGGTCCTTTATAGCTGTATTTTCTCATGATAAGTTGTGTTGTACAAGGGTTTCGTTATGGTTATATTTGTGTGTGCCGCTGTATGTATTTATCCATGTGCGTATGTATGGTCATATGACGTCTTTTCTGTGCAAGCTTATGTACGTACATAAACTCATGTATGTACTTGTATACTGGCCTGTGTTCAATATATATATATATGTATACATACATATATACATATATATATATATATATATACATATGTGTGTTTGTCTCTGCGTCCGCACACATGCATGTGGTAAATTCCTTTCTATGTTTGTACTTGCGTGTGGGTGTGGAATATGATGTGTTATGCTGCGTTAAGCTATGTTATGTGGTGCTATGTTATGCTAGGTTATGTTATGCTATTTTTTGCTACGCTGGCTTATACTGTGTCATGTTATGCCTTGCTGTGTTTTGGGTGTCGCGCCATGTGGCCTCGACATGTCACGCGCGGTGCCATGGTATGTTGTTGTACTATGCCATGCTATGTCTTGCTATGTCATTTTTGTGTTATGTTCTGTCTTATGTGTCTGTGAATCTATATATACATAATATATATATATATATGTATGTATGTATGTATGTATGTATGTATGTATGTATGTGTATATATATATATACATATTATACACATGTATGCAAGGTGTCCTAACTACACTGGGCTAACGACAACAGCTGTGGATGTTGAAAGCTCGTAATAGTGCAGTGGAGCCTCGTAATCTCACAAGGACTCCCGAACTCCCGCAGGCATGTCCAGTATACTGTACAAGTCACCTGACAATCCAACCCAACATGCATGTTCAGTCCACTGTCATTAGGCTTCGTTCCGAACCCGTAAGAATTGACTTTCACGCTTTCCAACCTTGCGGCAGCAATGTCAACGCCCGAGCATGGACGGGGGACTTTGTAAATAAGAAGAAGGACTCCACGTCTCCCCACCTTGCAACTATTCTTTCCGGCGCGCCGCCCACCCTCCAAACAGACCATGGCCCAATTCTGTTTCTTCAGTTCGGAGATGTTCGTTTTACCAGGCAGCTCGAGTCGCACCTGCTAAGAAACGACTGCTCAATTCAGCTGTGTAAATGACTGAGTGAGTAGGAGAGGAGAACTAGCATGTATGGATAAATGCATGCAGTATGCATGTACCCATCTATGTCTGCACTTGCTGTTATGTGCAGGCATCAAGATGTTTAACAGTTTAACATCGCTGTTATCTAACACTGTTTCTCACTGAGTCTCGAAAACATTTACTGCTGACACATCATGCACCGATTCCTCGCTCACTTTTTCAGAAGCGAACGGGGTCACGCATGCCCCGAGGGCACAGGCTTTGCCATCTCTTTCAATTGAGTGGGCTTGCAGCCAGCATGGATCACCTAGTGACAGGTCTTGTGCTGTCAACCTTTGGGCGCACCTGACGCATGCTCATAGTTTTTCACGTTCATGGCCTCAAGATGGCTCAATCTGAGGAATGACGACGCCCATTGTCATCAGGCAGGCCCCAGCCAGGGAGACATTCTTTAGAATGTTGAGGAAATGCCCCATGTCTCCTCGCTGCCGGTGGCCCGAAATGACGACTTGTACCGAGATGCGAAAGAGACATTGCACACGAAAGGAGGACTAGCACGAGGACATGAGAAACGCTCACTCGACACGATGACAGGGCACCACAGACACGAATAATCTAGACAGGATGCCACGGCACGAGGCACCACATCAGCATGCGGCCTGAGTCAGAATACACGAGGACGGAAAAGGCGAACCACAGAAAACGCCGAGGATAACACAATAACCTAAAACAGTAACCACGATGCGAGAAAGACACACGACATGCCAGTTGCGAAAGGCACGAGGAGAGGAAGTACGAAACCAGGATATCTAAGAGGTCGCGAAACCGGACGCAGTCACACAAACCAGGACAAAAGGCATGAAGACACGAAATCAGCACACAAGAAGGAAGACAAACGACATCCAGATGGAAGACCAGATGTAAGACATGAAAAGAGGATAAAAGGCGATCACACAAGGACACGAGGACAAGAGTCAAGGATATGCATGATGCGTCATCAGATTCGAGCGCATGGAGACGTGGCACGTTGACATGGACATGGGGCACAAGACAACCACGGTCAGAAGGACGGTGCGTCAAACCCCTCCGAGCGATCCGTTTGACTCGTGACCAATCTCGAACGTGAGGAAACCTGTCGAAAAACGACGAAACTCCTAGAAGATGTTGGAGGCGGCGCGGCCCCGACACGATGACAGTGCGCTACATAACGGATGAAGGGACTCTTAGGCGAATGCTCTCGAAGGCGAACGCTCTCGAAGGCGAACGCTGGCGGACACAAACACACAAACAAATGCCGTCTGGTAAACCCTTAACTCCCAAACCCCCCAGAGAGAACCCTTCTACAAAGTATTCGGATGGTCTTGCATTTGGTTTGCCAGACAACGGCGGTTCTGCCTCCGAGTCTGAGGGCTCGTTCTCCACGGTCGAGGGAGCAGTGATCGGTAGTTTGTGGTTGGTTGGGACATGCTCAGGTAATCTGTAGCGGGCGTAGCATCACTAACCAAGAGGCATCCGTGGTCCTGACTGCAGGTAGGGCTTCAGATGGCCGAAGTAGGTGGCAAAGAGGAGGAACGTGAAGAGGCCTTCTGCTCCAAGCTCCATCAACACAGGGATACCGCTTACATAGAAGATCGATGAAACCGATAGAAGGATCAGGGTAAAGACGGCAAGGGCAGTCGCTGTCGCGCGGCCAAAACCGAAGCCCATGATCATTCCAACCTGGCGAGGACTCCCCAAGTGTCCTAAATTCCAGACCGCTCAAAGCTAGCAGAAAAGCCGGGAACAGAAATCACAATGAACCGAGTCCCGTACAAACTGTTTGGTGTCCTTCGCATGATTCAGAAATGACAGTACGAAGGGCACAACGAACAGGACGAGGCCCGCGTACTTGAAGATAAACGAATAAGGCCGGAAAAAAATGTAGATCTTGCCGATGAAAGCTCCGACAGATCCAAGTGCTCCGTGCAGGCCAAGGGGGGTCCCATCTTTGCCGATTTCAGGCACTTCGAACCCAATCGTGAGCAAACAGTGACCGGAAAGAGCGATATTCTTCAGAATCATGATAAAGTGGCTCATGTCTTTGGACTGTTTCCAGGGCTTGTAGTGTCCGAAGTAGGTTGAAGCAATCCTCCGCAGACACGCAGCTAAACGTCAGGCACGGTTCAATGCCGGCACTCTTTTGCTTTGATCATGGTAAAGGTTAAAGCCAAGCATCAGGAACATCAGCAGGAACTCTGCACCCCATTCCATTAAGACGGGGATGCCTGACAGTCCGATCACGGTCCCTTCCACCAAAGAGGCTCTGAGACCCTAACTGGAGGCCCTTGTGGGCCTGTGAGGTAGCACAAGGAGCCCGCCAGGAGGCTCAAGAGGCCCCCAAGGGCCATGAATGTCGGGCATGGCAAGCCAAAGGCTTCCATCATCTTCACCTGAAGCACATCTCCTAAACAAATATCAATTCTACACAGCAGCACAGGTGTATGCAGCTCTGCAGTTTAGCTGAAGTTTAGCTAGGGCTTCAGGCAAGGCACAAATCCGGAAAAATCCTGTTCAGAATGCGGCTGGAACTCACTGATTCTTCATAGATGCTTTCATGGAAGCAGTTCGGACTACCGCAGTGCACGCCGCTTGAGGTATTCATCCTTGGCATGGTTGAGGAAAGACATCACAAACAACAGAACAAAGAGGACAATGCCGCAGTAGTTGATGAGCCAAACCTCAGATGGACGCCCAGTGGCTTCCCGACAGATCGTCTGAACTGCGGAGACTGAGACAGTTCATGTTGCCTCCAAGCTACATAAGGCACAAGGCTGTCATAGTATTGCCTCAGGAAGGTGCCCAAGGAGCCCAGGTAGCCGCCCAGACCCACAGGTCCACCCGCAAGCACCAGCGGGGCGCCTGTGCTTACAGATGATGTTGGCTTGGGCCAAGAGAGCAAGTGCACCCTGGCATCCGACCGCATCTCTGAAGCCCCTGAAGACCAAGACGGCGGCTGAGCTGAATTGCCGCGCAGGCCTGCGAGCTCTGGTGCGGCCAGCCCCGGAAGCTGGGCCACGCAAACAAGGAGGCCGGTCAAGGCCAAGCCCTGCAAAGCACCAAGGCTGCAGTGTTATTGCAGAAGTCTCTGAAATCCCGAACGCGAAATCCATGATATCTACGAAAAGCGATATATTTTTGCAGCTGACAGCCTGCGCCCACGCGACTCTCCTGGCTGTTTGCTCGCTGCGCGTCTCTGCCAAAGGAATCAGCGGTTCTGCGAAATCCATGGGGCCCTATCCACGAATCCACGCTTCTCGGGCACTAAGCTGAAGCTTCACGTGCTGAGCGCCGCGTCTGCTGTCGCTAGACTGGGACGAGGAGACTCTGATATGAAAGCACATCCAGTCCTGTATCTGCTGGCTTGCACAGAGGTAAGCCACGAGCTTGTCTGCTAGCCGGTTCACTTCGTCCACAACCTGCAAACCGAAAAGTCGTTGCAGTTCATGAACTCGACCTGCGGAACCTAATTGCACCTACCTGGTCCTGCTGAAGGATGCGGACAAACAACGCTCCAATTTCCTCCTGTATGGAGGCCAGAAGGCGCAAAGTCCTTGCGCAATCCGTCGGCATGTATAATCGGAAAGATGCCCAGGCATGCGGTTGTGACGCATTGCACTACCACTAGCTGCCGCTTCCCCAACACATGCAACCCTGTGGCACGAACAGTATCAATTGTCAATCTGCGGGCGGAAAACATGCACTACACACCTTACGTTGCATCCGGGAAGTCCGAGGCGTCCCCCGCAATATTCGCTTCTTTCTAAAAACTCCACGAAGCTTCTTTCTAAAAACTCCGGTGCCCTTACGGTTGCATCTCTGGGAGCGCTGGAGCAGCTAGGGGCGCGATCCGAGCGCGTCGGCTTTGGTGGGGGAAAAGAAGACTGCCCCCCCCCCCCCCGCAGTTTGTCACATCGACCAAAAAGAAGGGCGTCCAGGACGCTACAGTCGTGGCGATTTCTTCGTCGTGCAGCAACTGGTTGAGCAGCTCCTCACTCTGCGAAACAAGGACTACATGAACACAGGCTTTCAGTCAGCCTTCATCACGTTCAAACATTCTGCAGTCACCCAATCTCCTTCGAGAATTCCCGAGCAGTGAACTGTACCTGCGCGTCCCTCATTGTCTGGGACACCACCTTGCAGCTTGCATCTGCTTGGGCTGCTCTGAAGGCTGTGCGAAGGTGGAGCTTAGGCTCTCTGCCCGGCCTCTGCTGACTCCTGGGAGACATGTGAGCGAAGAATGGTCCTTGCAGTGGCGGCGCCGTCCTGTGCCCCCTGCTCTGCAACTGTGAGGATGCTTGGGCTGCTTGCCAGTTGATGACAACGTAGCCGATGCCGACGGCCACGGCGCCGCCGCCTGGCGGGAAGGCGGCGCAGGCAGCGCACTCTGCCGCCGGCGAGAGAGCCGCTGAGGCCGAGGCCGGCCATCATCACGCGGTAGGAGAGCTGCACGTTCCGGGTCATCTCAGAGCAGAGCACAGCGGCCAGGAAAGCACAGCAGTCTCTCCGTCGCCCCGATCCTTGGCCAGCCTTTCCATCTGCGTGTGCATCTGCCGGGCGGACCCCTGAGCAAAAATGAGCACGTGACACGGGTTCGGAGCTCCCAAAGCGCACGCCTCATAGAGATCGCGGAAGTGGTGCTGCGGAGACGCTGTGGTCTGCTGCTCCGTCTTCCTGCAGAACCCAAAGTGCTCAGCTATGCTAAACTTAAAAAGAGTCCCTCCCTGCGGGGGTACCGGGGTACCCCTCTAGAGGCTGTTACTAAAAAGGAGTGCCCCAAGCTGTTTAGAGGTATTATTTTCTCAGTGCGACGCTTGGAGTCCGAGCTGCTCGCTCGAAGAAGCCTGGGGCAGCTCGGAAAGAGAAAAAAGGATCTCTGCTAAGATTTTCTAAGACTTTCTAAGACGTGCGTCTTTCTCTTTTTTAGGGGCTGTTAGGGATGGTTTGGGGTTTGGGGTTTGGGATGGGCTCATCCTGGACAGAGGAAAAGCGCCTGTACGCCACCATGTGAGAAGCATTGGGTCCCGTGCACTCCGATCGGGCGCTGTAGCCGCTGAGGCGAAGCTTCATGCCTCAGAGTCAGGAAAAACTGGGAGCATATGTATAACATTGTATAACACCATCTATCCCCAAGCATTTCCTGACGATGGCGGGGTTACTGTCAAGCGATGTCCCGGTCATGTCACAAGAGTTGTGCGTGGTTTGGGGGGTAGATGCATTTGGCCCTCCCCAGGCCCTCTGTTGACTGGCGCATGGCGATGCGCGTTCGGCTTTCTCAAGCAATCCCACAGCTTGAATCCAACGGCCTCTGTCAGCCGCCTTCACTACACAGCCAGCAACAGAGGTGGCGGAGCACTGGAGGAGCAAAGGTCATGACAGTCAACGTCGTTCACAACAGCTAGGTAGACATGCTATGAAACTTCCGCTGCCCTGCGAAAACAACATGTGCTTCAGAATCAGCTGCGCTTGCATCGTGATTCAGTGCAAACTTAGCTACCTTCAGGCTTCTTGCCAAAGGCCCGGGCCCCGTCACACAGAGTGGCAACAATCGATTCTGGATCACTCCTTCTCAGAGCTGCTGGAGCCGCCAACTGCAAGACGAATCCCATCGACCGGCCTCTGGAAAGCACGCGGAGCCGCCGCATGGAGCCGGGTCGGCTTCGTCTGATTCGTGTACCGTCGCTTTATGTATGCTTGCAACCCTTCTAAGGTAAAGTAGCCCGTCTTCAGAGTTCTGCTGCTCACATATGCACATACCGCCCACGATGTTGTGATGTTGTTGACGGGAAGTGACATGCTGAGGCCACGGGTCCGACGGCAAATCTCGCTGACAAAGATAGAACATGAGACTCGACCGGCTGAAGGATGTACAGTCAGAAGCTGTGTGCCAGTCCACAGGATGCCTGGAAGCATCCCTCCTTTGAACTGCACTGTCAGTTGCAGCGATGGGAACAACTGAAGCACACGAATTGAAAGGAATGGCCCCTAACGTCTGATTCGCACAACACGACAATGGCAAACAACTTTGCTGGGCAAGGCTTGGATGACCTCCTAATTCGTGTGAGAAATGCAACAGTCCTTGGAATCAGGGTCTGGGACCTACGCTCACCAAGCGCACCGGTGGGAAGCTGCAAAAACCTGCCGTTTCGGCTCATTCCCTCAACAGTCAGTGTGCTAGTCGTCCTTTTTGCAGCTGCCCCGGTGAGAAGTAGCTCAGTGGCAAATAACAGCTATGGACCAGGAGAGAGCTTCTAGTAGTGCGACAAGGTCCTGAGCACAGACAGCGTACCGCGAAAGCTTCGTGTCCTTCCGACGTGCCAGAGATGATCCGAGAAGCCAGCAAAGAACCTCATCGACGCATTCATAGCAACGCCTCATGGTCTCCAGACAAGAAGCTATTTGATCTATTTGCAACTAGTCCTAAACTTTCCAATTGCTCGTCATTGCTCGTCCGATACGGTACAGCAGGGTCGCCAGAGGCGAAGAGACTTCGAGAGCAAAGCACAGGTTTCACAGCGAGTCTCTCTGTCACAGACTGCTTGAGAAAGCTCCCTTGCAGCTTCTTCGTTTCCGAAACTCAGCCTCCTGCTGAGACTCTTGTGCTTGGAAAGCAGACGCCTGAGGAGGCGTCTGCGGTCGCCAAACACGTCACACCACACCAACAAAGAGCATCTTGAAGTCTCTGGCCTTTGGCGACCTGCATCTCACCTGGTCTGCGCGGAAACATGCAGAATACTAGAGGCCAGGGCCTGCTCGGGGCCCTTGAATCATGACGCCAGTTTGCGGTAAACGCGCTCAACACAGGCACAAAATTGTCCTTATAGAAAGGAGGAAGGCGGCGACCGATAGCAAGAACGTGGCGTTGCAACAGATCGAGCAGCTGGCGAACAGAAAATCGCTGCAGCCGTCTGCATGGGCAGCAGACACTGAGCATTCGGCATGTCCACCAGTTCATTCAACTCGCTTCAAGGACCTCGGCTGAGTCGTGCGTCTAAGTCATAGTCAGCTCTGACTGTCACGAGGAATCTAGAAGCCGGAATTTGCCAGGGCAAAGGCTGTCTCTGTGCTTCCTCTACCAAAGCCTGTTGCAAGTCTCTGCACCCGCAAGTTGGGCACTCGAAAGGACATGAATGCACGGCCTTCCACGACAATGTGCTTAGGCTTTGATTGGTTCATGAATCATGCAGTAGACTTTGCCGCCTTTGCGACTTTCTCCAGTTTAGCAGCAGCAGTGTCCAAGCCTCTGCAGATGTGCATCCGGCAAACGTTCTGCTTTCGCAAAACTTTGCTCTGACAAGCTTGGCGCGCCACGACGCACGCTTCTGTTCATTGCCTTCTTCGGATCATCCTTGCCAGCCTCATGCCAGCTACACCATGGCTTCAGGTACACATAACAATGCACCTTCAGCCACTTTATTGATGTTTCTGGGTGGTTGGTCTAGCTGGATCTAGCCGGAAAGACTCCGGCAGCAAGTTTGCCGCTGTGCACGGTCTCCATTGCAGCATCTGAGTACCTCTAACCCAATACGAGTGCATGCAAGGGATCTAGAAGAATGCAATCTGCAACAAATGTCTAGTCTCTGCGGCTCACTGGCTGTCCTGGGCATCCCGAACCGAGAAGCCTGAGTGCATCAGACTTGTGCTGACGATGTTGACCAATCAATGTCATGGATTGGTCATGTAGGAAAAAGCATGGTGAGCTGAGACGCCGGCGTGGCACCGGAGGTCTCCGCGGGGATAAGGAAGCTGTCTCAACCACGCCTGCAGCAAACAGTGGCAGGTCCGAGCCTTCCTGAGCATCTTGGACGGCCTCTGTGATGACGTGGCGAAGGTGCCTCATGTAAGGAAGCTGGATGTTCATAGATGGCGAAGGCATTTCAGCCCATGCTTTGGCTCGAGCTCGTCGACCGAGCACTGCTGTGTGCCTGGAAGCACAAGTCCAAGAAAACCCTCTCCAACTGTCCTACAGTCCCACTTCTCAGTGTGATTCCAATGCAGAGCCGCACACTCTTTGTGACACGAACTGAGGCTCGAACTCGTAAGCATCGAGTGCTTGGAGGATTTCATTGCGAGGATCATGTCTCACAGGTGCAGGAGAATGCCTCGAAGCATGGACATGTCATGCCAGTGGAGACAGAAGCATAAGGTGAGTCCT